GGGTTTACATGTGTCTTTTATGTGTCAAAAGACACTGGTGTTTTACCATATGCATACTGTAATTAAATTTTTTTTTGTATGATTGTCACATTAGTCATGTGATATTTACCAATCTACTCACATGTTTCTATTCATTATTATTACGCATAGCGCATGACATATGATGAATTATGTCATGTCATACACTCATATATTATAATATGTAAATTAGTAACATTGACCATCACACTTCAAAATTTTCTGATGAGGTATATGTGAATTCATGTCGTACACTTTAATATACTTTGCTTTAATTAACCTCTCTCTGCTATCAATACCTAGTAGAAAACAAAGTTTCTCGTTACTTGCAGCATCTAATATAAATACAAACATTCGCATTAGCAGAGTTCGCAAACACTCAAACACTCAAACCTTTAAAAGATGATTCAGCTAGCTTGTACGTGCAAAGCCAATTTTCTTCTTACTTAAGAGAACTGACCACAACAACATAACACCTAATGAAAAGAAATCTCATGACTGTCACATCATATAAGTAGTGAATTCATGGGGTATTTTTACCTACTGTGGTATAACCCTCTCGATTTGCACTTACTCTTTTGTAATTTGTCAGGGAAAAAGAGAAACATTGAACTCAAACCAAAATCAGCAATTTCCGTTGCTGGTGATGACTTGCGTTACCATTCTTCGACAGATAATGAAAAGAACAAAATTAAAAGTTAGGTGCGAGTAATGAAACTTAGGAGTGACATTGTATTAATTAACTTAAAAAACTACACCCACTAGCTTTTCATATATCTCACTTTTGTAACAAAACCGAAAAAACTATAATATATGTTTTCTTTCTTCGCATAATTGATCCATTAAATATAGTAAGTAGGGGCAAGCGCGGTATAGGCCTAGGTAGGTCAATGTATATGCCTCAAACTATTATCATAACCAAATTAAACCATGTATATCAATCATATATATCAATCCATTTGTGATCAGTTGGTTCAAATCTACGCAAAGATGTGTCTTCAATTGTGCTTCAATATAGGTTTGTTGTGTCTATTATTTGAGACATTAGTTTTACTCAATTTGTTTGTTTTGTGCAAATTCATTCAAGTCAATTTCTTAGTCACAAGGGCAATGTACTCAATTAGCACCTCTGTATTTACTTGTGTTGATGATCAATGAAATACTACTCTCATTTTTTTTATAAAAGAGAATGTCTTTCGATTAATTATACTAGGAAATTATGTACTCTGTGTACGAATAAAAATCTACCTTTGAAATACAACCCTAACGTCTATGAGACTCTTTTCATATCAATATTGTTGACATCTGCAAATGTATACATCTCACTACTTCTTTTCTTTAAAAAAATTTACAAAAATATATGAGTCCAACTATTACTTGTAGATATGCCAAAAAAAGGAACTGGAAACTTTTTTCCCATAGATCAATAATACTTGCTTTATATAACTTTAGTTGCCCTGATCTTTTCATTATTTGGAAGCTCAATCCAAACAATCATGATTCATGCATGCATGGGTCATTTATCACTATCACAATACGTGCAAGTTCCGGATAATTTTTCTTACTTATTAACTTGTCCTTTCTTATCCTTTATTCATTTATTTATAAGGGACTCGTCACAAACAAACAATACTGTCGTCTTCTTCACTGGATTGAGAAAAATTTTCCGTGTTGGAAACACGGTCATATCAAATGTAATAATACAACTGGTTGGAAATTTTTATTTCAAATTTACAACCAATTAAAAAACTAATTGTTTCAATCAGGGGTCACAGATGCCTAGCATACTAAAAATTCTGTCTTCAGTTGGTTGATATAGTCACTAGTAAAAAAAATAGGTTGCACGACAAACAAAAATTCGTTGCACACGACGCACTTGCACGACAAAAAAAAAAAAAAATCGTCGTGCAAAATAGAAAAATAGAGAAAATAAATAAATTAAACTTGCGCGACGAAATTTTAGTCGCTCTAAGTATTCTGCGCAAAGATCCTAACTTTGCTATTTATAGGTGCTTCTACTATCTTTTTCTTCACAATTTCGTGCTGAGATGGCGGATAAAAACAACAATGAGAGTGTGCGCAAGGCCGACAAGCATGATATGAGAGAACATTTTGCGTTTGCTCGTGCAATTGTTGCAGCTATGAGGAATAATTGCCCCATTGCTGAGTGGTGTTCTTGGAAAGATGTGCTGGGAAATGTGAAAAAGCTTGTGATGGATGAACTATTAGGAAGTATATTGTTGATGGATCAATAATTTAGTTATATGTTGGAATTAATTATATGTATATATCTGTAACAGCCTAAGTATGTTTTTGATGATGAACCGAAAGAACAATTGATGAAGTTGCTGGAGGATGCGTTGGAGGAAGGTTACAATATGTGGGGTTATGAAGTCTTGCAGAATGGAGCAAGATCATCCAAATAGTACTTTAAAGTTTATGTTTTGTACGACAATTTTAAATTTAAGGTTTTTTTTTATCTAATTTATGTATTTGGACTTAATTAAGCATCCTAGCTATGGTTTATATGTGTTTTTAATCTTTAATGAATATCGTACTTATGCTGAAAATAATTGTATGGATGAAGATATAAATTATTTGTAGAATAAATATTTAAGGTATTAACTATTTTAGAATAATATATTAGGTATTAATTATTTATAGAATAAATATTTAAAGTATTAATTAATTTAAGAATAAATATTTAAGGTATTAAATCATTTGTAATTACAATTATTTTATTCTATTCATCGCGCAATATATTGAGCGACGCTAATTCGTCGCCCAAATACATCTTGCGCGACAAATACATGTGTTTGTCGTGCAGTGCGCTATCTAAATGCGTTCAAACCTTCCAATTTATTGCTCATTAATGACGCATTTTGCGCGACGACTATTTCGTCGCGCAAAGTTGTCATAGTGCTATATTAACACAGTTTCAGAGTCGAAGTTTTCAAAATTTTTTTGTTTCAAAAAGAATGGCCGATTCTGGGGAAGGTTCTGAGAAAAAGAAAGTTGTAATGCGAGTAGAGAGGTACCTACGGAAGCAAGTGCCGTACTTTGAAGGTAAAAATTTGGCTGAGGTGTATGCCAAATTCATTTATGACATTGGGAATTTGGTGCGGAGGGATTGTTCTACCGAGTTTGAGTCTTGGAAAAAGGTCCCTGAGGAGCTGAAGAAGTCCATGTTGGGAGAGTTATCGGTAAGTTTATGGTAAATAATGAAAAATTATTTTTGAGAAAACGTAATATTAAATTACTAATTTATTGTTATTGGCATTAATGTAGGTTCATTGGGATATTGATGAAACCGATGAGAAACAACGGATTTATGTGGATGGGCTTTTCAAGCAAAGATTCCGGAAGTGGAAGTTTGATGTGTTGCAGGCGAGGGAGGATTGAAGTTGATTAGGGTTTTTTTTTTTTTATTCTTATTTTGTTTAAATAAGATTTTGTGGACTTTTATATTGAATTTAATGAATAAATATATGTTATGTGGATGAGTATTAATATTTGCAGTAATTATAATTTTTATTTGGGATCGTAAATTAGTTTTGTTAATTAATTTAATGTTTAATTAGGTTTGAGTTTTTGATTTATAATAAAATAAAAATTTACAGTACATACAAATAAAGAAGGAAAACATAAAAAATAAAAAATATATATTTCTAGCGTGACGAACTTCTTCTTTCGTCGCGCTTTCGTCGCGCAAATAACATTTGAGCGACAAATACAGACATTCGTCACGCAAGAAGTATTTACACGACGAAAAAGTTTTCTTCGTCGCTCAAAGGTTCTTTGTGCGACTAATAGGGGTGGGCACTTGGAACCGAAAACCGAAACCGAAACACGAATCGAATCAAACCGCACCAAACGGTTTGGTTTTGCGGTTTTGAAACGGTTTCGGTTTCAAAACCGAACCGCGGCACACAAAACGGTTTGGTTTCGGTTTTGGGTTTTCAAAACCGCACCGAAACCGAAACCAAACCGAAACCGCACTTTTTTTTTTATTTAGTTCATTATTCAACTAGGTTATACAGAACACTTAAACATTTGGTTTTGGCCGCCAGAACTTATGGGTTTGCACCGACACCGAGTGGGGGTTGCGACTGCGTCTGCGCCTCCTTGCATCTCCGCATCTGCTTTGCGACCTGGTCACCTGCGAGCGACTGCTTCTGCATGTGCTTCTGCCTGCGAGCGACTGCTTCTGCATCTGCTTCTGCCTGCCTGCATCTACCTCTGCGAGCGACTGCTTCTGCCTGCATCTACCTCTGCGAGCGACTGCCTGACTGATTTCATCTCTGCTTTGTTGTTGTATGTTGCTGTTGTATTTATCAGAAATTTCTCATCAGAATGATGTATTTAAGTAGCAATCATGAACTCTGTTTAGTGTATCCTTGCTCACATTACCCTTGCTAAAATCCGGTTCTTGGTGGGATGAGAAGTTATGGGAACAATTCCATCACTTCTCTGACTCTGTATATCTGCCATCTGCATAAGAAAATTTATGGTATTCTTGCATGATTTCACATGTGGAATAGCTTCTTTGAGAAGAGATTATGTAATATGTCTTGGGGTTTAATTATTTAAGTGGTAAAAGCAAGGTGTGGGTTTCTATAGTTCTGCTCTAGCTAGCAAAATGAACAATCGGTCACCCAAATTTTTACGTTATGACATATAAGTTCATAGTTTTTGCATTGCCTGAAGTTGTTTAACTGCCATCGGTTTGATTTGTTTTCTCTTGTTTATTTCTCATGCAAATTTCTTTGTTTGTTGATGTTTATCCTCTTGATTTGAAGAATTCTTTGTCTCCCCGCGTTGTAGGACTATCGTTTTACACCAAGTTGAGAAGGGGTTATCTGAAGCGTTCTCTCAGTATGGACAAGTGATAGAATTTGCATTCAAATGCAAGAATACTGAGGCAACTATCTCTAAACTGATTATATTCTGTCATCTTGTTCTTAAACCTTATTTATTTTTGGCAGCCCAAATTGTATCGGACAGAGTCTCAGAAAGATCGAAAGGATTTGGATTCGTGACCTTTGCTTCAGAAGATGAAGCCCACAAAGCCTTGGAGAAGATGAATGGCAAGGTAATTCCTTGTTTTCTGTTTTCGTTAATCCATTTGAATCTTGCCATATTAAATAACTCCAAAATGACATATTCAAAACACTCACAGCCACTGAATGGACGCGTTATTTTTGTGGACTATGCAAAGCCGAGAACCAATTATGGCAGTGGAATGCCGATTGCAAGAGGACCTCCTGATTCGATAAAAGACGGTTTATCTACTTATGCAAGGTCTTCTATTCGCTGGGGCGCACTTGCAGGAAGGATTAAATGCGGGGAAAATCAAATTCATGTGAGTTTGCTGTATTATCTTATCCTCCCTATTTAATCTGTGACTGCGTTGATTCACCGTCTTCACTGCACCATTTGTTGTTTTCAGTTTGTTAATCTATGCATGGACCACTACTGTAACCCGTTCTCAACCGATGAACTTCAAACTATGGTGCGTATCGCGTCATTTTGCCTTCCTCCCTATTTATTCAGCTATTACATATCCAATTGTATTGATTCCTGCTACATTATAATAGAAATGTGAAGTACAAAGTCAATTTAAAAACCTAATATCTATCTATTTTCTTAGTATAAAATCCTAATATCTATCTATGTTCTTCTTTCGTATTTTATTTCAGTCAAGATATGAAGAATCCAGCAAGCATAGTGGGATTGGTTACTCTTCTATTGGTGATCAAGTTGAATTTTAGTAGATGTGAATTATGTGATGCGTTTTTGTGCAGTTTTTTGTTGCAGTTTTGTGCAGTTTTGTGCAGTTTTTGGTGCAGTTTTGGTGCAGTTGTGGTGTAATTTTTGCTGCAGTTTAGCTGCTGTTTTTTGTGCAGTTTTGTGCAGTTTTTTGCTGCAGGTTTGGTACAATTCTTGGTCTTGTTTTGTTGCAGGTTTGGTACAGTTTTTGGTGCAATTTTGGTGCATATTCATTAATTAATATACAAGGAAAATAAGACCATCTTATACATAAATATGGGTATATTTTAAATTGTACATTTTTTCCTCAAAAACCAAACCGAAACCGTTTGAAACCGCACCGAACCGAACCAAACGGTTTGGTTTCATTTCGGTTTTGGCTTCAAAACCGCACCGCACCGCACCGCAAAAAGTTTCGATTTCGGTTGTGGTTTCACTCGAAACCGCACCAAACCGCACCGCGCCCACCCCTAGCGACTAACATATTATTCATCGTGCAAAATCCTTCCTCTTTTTTTATTCAAAATCAGCCTTGTGCAGAGGCAAACTGCAAAAAAATTGCAGATTGTGCCTCTACACTCATCCCTGCGATTTTGCTGAATCTGGTATCCATCATTTTCATTTTCTCTCAATTTTATCATCTAAACTACTCCCTCCATCTTCTCTAGGTTGATCGAGCTATCTCGGTGTGTTTGGTAAGCGTTTTTTGTCGTTACGGTAAAAGTATTAATGTAAATTCATACTAACGCCATTAATTTCGTTCTCTATAGGGACATTGTGTGTGATTAGCGATTGGTGGATAACGATTGAGAAGGTAATTTCTTCGTTTTATTTTTTAAACATACACCATTAATTAAATTATGTTGAACTTAGTTTGTGATGTTTATATTGTGCTATGAAATTATATTTATATTATGTTGTTAAATTTGTACTTGACGTACAAATATGTGTTGTGATGTACATAGTTAATTGAAATTAACTTCGTACTTGTTTTTTATTTTTAGTAAAACTTAGTTTCCCGTTTAAGGATTAGTTGGATTTCGCGCATGGATGCGAAAGCATGACTGCGGTCCAATTAATTCTTGAATTGTCCCATTATTTGGACAATTTGGGAATGCACAGTTATGACGCATTGTTTATGGTTGAAGGATTAGGTTTCGGTTGTGGAGATTTCGGTATCATCTATGTACGTTCTTTAGGTCGTACACCTGAAGAACTATATCGAAATGCTGCCGAAATTCATCCACGTCGAAATCTAATCTGATGTAGCCGTAAATTACGTGACATAACTATGCATTATTAGTTTGTATGAAGTTGTTGTGATTGTTGTATTGTTATTATGGTTCTAGGAATTATGGACATGACGTGGATACATAATCCGAATAGATGCACGGACGAATACTTGGATGGAATCGAGGATTTTATTTGTTGGAAATGTGCCCTAAAACCAATCATATGATGATACTTTACGGACATTTCACATGTTAAACTAATCTAGTTTAATATCAAGGGCAAAGATTATTGTTTTAAGCCGTTTCATATAAATGTTATATGCTTAAACGATAAGTCCAAGGAATATGTAATTAGGAGAATGTGATTTAAACAAGTTAGATTAATGAAACCATTCTCTTTCTTATACATATCCTAAACGTTCCTGATCATAGGATTGCTAATTGGGCATTGACAGTCCGTTAAGATCAGTACATGCTACGTCTTCTCTTAGTGAGAGTGACTAGTCTTGAGTCATTGGTGTGATTGACACCAAGACAAGCATGTAGGTGCTCAATAGCGAATGAGTCCACTGAACACGATCAACGAGGAATTCTCATACTCATGTCACATGAGAACTCATGGTTGGGATAATGCAAAGTAGTCCTTTGACCTGAGGCATCATAGTTGTCTTGTGGTTAAGTCCTTGATCTTTGATTGTGTTAAAGTCACTCCATTCGAGGGTGTCCACGACATAGTTGAGGTTAAGCCACTTAGCCATGGAGGCGAGTGAATGCGCAACAAGGGATCTCTAACCTTTAAACCGTTTAGAGGAGAATACTCTATGATATGATTAAGAATCTCTGGCCAGAGTATGAATGAGATTTAGGAAGTCGTTCCAAATCTCATTCAAGGTAATCATATAAGCACATGTATCACATTGGATAGTAGACATGAATAAACTATCAATCCAAACAATGTGGTCAAGAGTATTGTATTAGAGAAAGACCGTATTGCATTGTAATCCTAAACTAAATAGGTTCTCCACCTCTTCTGATTAGCTTGGGTAACCATGATATGCTGCTAGGTGTCACTCATGGTTTGTGGAAGCCCTAAACGTGTATAATCACTAAAGGGAGAATTGAAAGTAAGTTTCAATTCACAATCGATTTGAAATGGTTTTAATCGCCCACTGCCTCGCTAAAAGGAACCTAATTGATCGTACATCGTGCAAGGCAGAGATTGAAGAAACAATGGAGATGAGTAAGATTAATTAAATGGTTTAATTATTTATGGCAAGGATTAATTAATATGTTAATTAATCAAACGAATCAAGTTTGTTAAAAGACCACGGGTTAGTTTTGGGCCTCAAGGCCCAATGGGTTTCGAACGTCAAGCCCATTGACTTAAGTTGTATGACAACTTAATGACAAATAATTCACAAAGGCCTTAAAAGCCCAATGAAACCCTATGGCCAGCCATTTAGTTAAAGGAGTGGGTTTTGGACTTATTTACAAGTTTGCCACTCCAATGAATTAAGGTATAAATATGACTTTATAGCCAAAATTCATTTAGGGTTTCTTTTAGAGAATTGGAGAGAACATATATCTCTCTTTTCTCTCTAAGAGGCCGGCCTTCTTGGAGGGTTTAGCTAGCAATCCTACTACTCCAAGGTCACTCATTTCTTCTCCAATCTAACCTTGGTGAAGAGACTTAGAGGTTCTCAATTTTGGGAACTTGGAGAACCATTTCATCCATCCAAATCCATAGATCTAAGATGCAAGGAATGAAGGCCCTCTCTTTGGGTGATTAGCTTTTCCTTATGCAAAGAGGAATCTACAAAGGTATAATTTCTCAACTAACAAATGTTGTTTTAAGTTGAGTCAAGGTTCACCAATCTACTACCAATCTACTAGTGAATTGAATTTAATTGGCTAATTTGTTTTGCAGGTTTTGAATGTGTAATGTAATGTTTTTTTTGAGTGCATGCAAGCATGATTCTGCCTTTAATTTGTTAATTGCATGCTGTAGATGTTGCTCAAATGAACATGTTTTTCACAATATTTTCTTCATTATTGACTTTGTAAGTACACACAACCCGGGTGCAACTAGAATCCGGTGTCCTTGTAGGAGGTGTAACAATACGTTAAGGAAGACAATAGAAAATGTTCGATTTCATTTAGTAAGGAATGGAATGATTGAGACATATAATACTTGGAACTATCATGGGGAACAATTAGACAGTGCTTCGTCTTCAAATGCCACAAAAGTGGATAATTGAACCTATTGTCGATCCTAATGAACAAGTCGTGGATATTATAAATGATGCTTTTCCATTTGCATCGACAAACACAAATCACGAAGAGGAAGATGACATGCCTACACCAATGGGCAGTGCAGAGTTCGAACAATATGAAAAACTATTAAAAAATTGCCAACCAAGAGTCATACTCGGGGTGCAAAAGCTTTTCTATTCTCACGGCCATTGTGGAACTAATCCATGGAAAAATAAAGCATCGTATGTCGAACCGGTGTTTTGATTACTTTTTAGGGGTTTTCAAGAGAATGTTTCCGAAGGACAATTGTTTGTTGAAAGACCATAGAGACGCGCAAAAGGTGTTGAAAGGTCTTGGATTGGGTTATGAAAAAATTCATGCTTGCAAAAACAATTGTATTTTATTCTACAAAGAGTATAAAACATTGGATAAATGCCCTGTATGCAATGAGTCGAGGTTCAAAATGACATCTCATAATAGAACCACTAAGATCCCACAAAAAGTCATGCGCTATCTGCCCCTGAAACCTAGGTTGCAGCTATTGTATATGTCGTCGCATACTACCACATAAATGAGATGGCATAAGGAAAAATGGGTAGACGACGATGTGATGCGACATCCTGCAGATGAGGAGGCATGGAAAGAGTTCGATCCACCGTTCCCCAAGTTTGCTGCTGATTTTTGTAACGTTAGATTGGGACTTGCCACTAACGGATTTAATCCGTTTGGGGTTTTAAACCAACACCACAATACTTGGCCGATTTTCGTATTTTCGTATAATTTACCACTATGGAAATGTATGAAAAAAGAATACATGATGATGACTCTATTGATAACTGAAGATCCTGGTAGGTCAATTGATGTATACTTATTGCCGTTGGTGGATGAGCTAAAGATTTATGGACACACAGTGTGCGCACATACTATAAATGTACTGGCAAGATGTTCACTTTGCGGGCTGTAGTGATGTGGACTGTGAACGATTTCCTTGCATATGCAATGGTTTCTGGATGGAGCACTAGGGGTTATATGGCATGCACTATATGCAAGGAAGACATAACATCTAGTTGGCACGCTAGAAAAGTTTGTTACCTTGGTCATCGAAGATGGTTTCCTTGGGACCACGAGTGGTGAGAGAAGGATAAAGAGTTTGACAGGGAGAAAGAGTATCGCCTCAGACCCAGAGAATGGTTCGGTGCTCAGATTTTGGAACAGCTTAACTGTTTGGATTTTGTTCCTTTCGGGACCAATGTCACTAGGACAAGACCTGCTACAGATATAAACTAGATACACAAGTCTATGTTTTTTGAGCTCCCGTATTGGTTTAAACTAAAATTGAGATACAACCTTGATGTCATGTTGAGA